AAATTTTTTAATTTATATCAAGTATATATATATACTAATTTATTGATTTATAAATTTGTATAATATATATATTATAAATAAAAAATTAGTATAGCTTAAGGGTAGAGTGTATGTAAATTATTTTTCATATGATCTGCATAGTATATTGAATTTTTACATAGTAAATAAAAAAATGCTTTTGATTAAACTTTTTAATATCTTAGTTAATTTTTATCAAATTTATATAATATATAGTTTAAACTAGTTTGCTTATAATAGTGAAGTTGCAGAATATACATTGATTTAAAAAAAATGAACTTTATATATAATCAAAGTTTTCGGGGTTGCTATATATTTTCTGGGGTTATACAAAAATTGCTAGTTCTGATTGGTTGAATCATATGATATTTATATGTAAATTATATGATATTATATACAAAAAGTTAATGTACAATCTATTTTATATAAAATTGAAAATTTGTACACTCTACTCTTAAAGTTAAAGTAAGGGTAGCTTTAGGATTAGAGAAGATTATAGTTTATACTAAAATTTTGCAAGAAATATTTTTTGTTAGAACTCTAAAAGCTATTATATAATTAGAATTTTAAGATATCAAATATATATAGAGTGTGGCAATATAGTAAAGTAATCAAGTTGTTATCTCAAGTGGCAAGTAAAGAGTTCGAATCTTACTTTGACAAAAATTTAAAAATTCTGCTTATATTATAGCTAACTGTATTCGATTGATTAGTTAGAATAGAATACTTGTAACTATAATCGCATCAACAAGACTAGAAGATCTGAGATATTCATATAATAGTAATATTACATAAAAAAATATAAACTGATAATAGGTGTGCAAATACAAGATAAGTCTTTAGGCTGTGTAAATCTAGAAAACTGCAAATACAGAAACTTGCTTGGCAAGTCCTAAATAGAAAAGTAGCACAGATTTTCAATAGAGCTACTGTAAAGGTTAGATCCAGAAAACAGAGCTTATGTAAACTAACTAGACAAAATATGGAATGTTAGGGTTGTACCTACACCAACTAGACTACTACAAATAAAAAAGAAAACTGAGAATCTAACTAAGAAGTCTTTGTAATTGCAAGCAAATCATAGCAATAGTGAGAAACCTACTAGCTACTCTTTGGAGTATCTGTTTAGATGCAAAGAAAAAATATACAGTTACTAGGCCATCTAGCTTAAAAGTCAAGAACCAGGATTGGAGCCCTGCTATTGACAAATAGATAAAATTATTAATACTAACTAGGCTCTATCAAATTGGAAAAAAATAAATAACACATACTAGGCTATCTGGTTTAGAAGTTTGGAAAAAAGGAGCTAGATTACTAATTACTTAGGATATACTGTGAAGTAAATTTTGGAGTTTGAGTAAATTTTATAAGGGCAGAAGTAGGTTTGGGTATCAGAGTTTAGCCAAACTAGAGTTAAATCTAGATATGTTAAACTAAGAAAAAAACTGTAGATAATAACTTTGATCTAGTATTACTTATACTCTCAGAATAGACAAAACTGAACTGCAAATGGTGGGCTATGGTCCATATGTACCAAACTAAAGTGCAGACTAGATGTGGTATAAAATGAGAATACTGCAAGCTCTGCTAGGTTTATCTTAAGAATAAAGTAGTTCTAAGTCAGTTATACAAAATATACACTTGTAAAACTAGTTCTTAAAACTAAAGAAAGTAATGCTAATTGGTAAAGACCTCAGAGTATATAGGTGCAGAGGGTTTAAATGAATACCCTCTAGTTGGGTTGTAAATACAGCAAATAGTATAGAACCTTGAAATAGGCAAACTATTTAAATAGATGCTCAAAAGGTGCAGATATAATTAAATATACTTTTCAAATATATACAATGACTATCCTAACACAATAAAAATGCAACATAACTAAGAGGTCATCTTAATATCAAAAAAAAAATATTAAATATATGTATATATATATATCTGGTATACAAATAGCAATCATCTATATAAATAATAAATAAAAATTATAATTCTTTCTGATAATCCTCTGATTAATATAATAATAAAACTAAACTACAGAAAAATATTATAAAAAATCTAAGTTAAATATATACTATTCTAGTTTTGTCTTTGTGTAAAGCAATTGTTAACAAAGTCTAAAAATATAAAATACCAAGAAGTGAATATAATTTGGGCAGTTTTTTTTTTGAAGTTAAGTTTTTTGTTATTATAGTAAACTTCTTAAGATATTTGGTATTCAAACTAAAAGGTTTATTCTAAAAACTGGTTCTATATTTAAGCAAGTTGCTATTAACAAAGCTTAAAAAATATGAAATATAAGAAGCAAATATAATTTAGATAATTTTTTTTAAGATCAAGTTTAGTTGTCTGCCTAACAGACTTTTCAAGTTATTCAGTATTTAAACTAAAAGGTTTATTCTAAAAGCAAGTAGTAGTTTAAACCCTTATTGAAATAGTATTAGCTTGAAGAATTATCTATATAACTATAAAATTTATAGAAGAAATTTATATTATTTTATTGATCTCACTTTTCTTTTAAAAAAAGTTTTGTAAAAAGTAAGTAATTTAGCTTATCTGCTCTAAAAGATTAATATAGTCAAACCCTCTATAGTCACATCTTTGGGATACAAAAAACTGTAATTGTAAAGAGATGTGACTAATATAGAAGTATTTTTTATATAGTTATAAATAATTAGTAAAAATAAATTTGTAATTATACCAATTTTGTGACTATAAAAGAGGTGACTATAGAGGGGTTTAACTGTATACTACTTATCAAAATAGTTAATACAGTTAAACCCCTCTATAGTCACCTTATCTATAGTTACAAAATTGGTATAATTACAAATTTATTTTACTAACTATTTATAACTATATAGAAAATATTTCTATATTAGTCACACCTCTTTACAATTACAGTTTTTTGTATCCTAAAGGTGTAACTATAGAGGAGTTTAACTATATTGTTTATATTTCTTTTGCTATAACAAATATATAAATACATATGAGCTGCAAGCATATGAATTACATACTATGAATATAATAACCAAGTAAATAATATCATGTAATATTAGTATAAATTTCTGATCTCTTTACAATGCTAGTATTGAAGAAAATATTTTTTTCTTTTATAATTTTTTGCTTAAATATGTAATTATATAAATTTAGAGTAGAGACTAGTTTAAATAGTAATATATAATTTTTATCAAGTCTAATACAGACTTATAATTGTAACTATTTATAAGGTGATTTCTGTTTTTTTTGTTTTTTTTTGTTTTTTTTTATATAGTTTTTTTTATCATATTCTCTTATACCTCTGTAGTTTTTTTTTATCTGTTTTCTTCTTGTTTGAACAAAAATCTAGGTGGATACTAATATATATTGGTTGTATATATCATATCTAGTTATCTTAATAGTATGGTTAATTATATGTGAATACTTGTTAAAATAGCTACATAATGTTAGACTACAGGTTTATTGTTATTTGTCATTAGTAGTAACAAGACTTTAATAAATATAGATTATTAGCACAACTCTATAGTTCTAAAAAAAATAAAAAAATAAATAAAAATTATAATAATAAAAACTATCTAATTTAAAAATTCTAATAACAATAAAATTCTTAATTCTTAAACCAAATTTTTTTTATAATTAAAGCTATCTTTTTTGGTTTATTACTTTTATTAAGTACAATACCGGATAGCAAGAAACTTCTAATTTTTTTTAAAAGTACCAAATTTTGAGATTTATACACAAATCAGATTGGTTATTTGTTGTGTAACCAGATTCTGATTGGTTAAAAATCTATAAAAACAATTTTTTTTATATATTAAATACCAAATTTTTGATTATATAATAATTTTAGGCTCTAATAACTTTTTAAATTTATAATAAAAATAAAATTCTATTCTAATAGAATTGTAGCTTAGACTAAAAGCAACAAATCTGTAAGACAGATTTTTTTTAAATTCATTTGTTTGTAAATTATAAGTATTTTTATATTTATATATAAAAAATAAATATTTCTTGCTGTCCAGTACTATATACAAAAAATTATCAGTATTTCTAAAAGTTCTAAATATAATACATTCTAATAAAAATATACAAACCAAATCTTTTATACTATCTTTTAAATAATCTTTATTATATTTTAAATTATAAAATCTAATAACTCAAATTTATATTTTTACAATATACTGTATATAATTATTTTAAAACATATATTAATTTTCTATATTTTAGTTATTCAATTACAATTTAAAAAAACTAAAACCTACAAAAAAAAGAAAAAATTAATCTTAACAAAGACAAAATAAACACACCAAATCTTTAATACCAACAAGAATCTAAAAACAACAATATCTAAATGCAATAACACTTAAATAAACAATATCTAAATACAACAATACCTAAATACAACAATATCCAAATATGACAAACCTGAATATAATAACACCTGAATGCAATGATACCTGAATGCGACAACACCTGAATGTGGCAGCATCTGAATTAGAAACTAAATTGTGCTAGTGAAACTTGTAACTATCTAAAATCTGTTTGGCTATTGCACTTAATAGCCAATCAGATTTTAGATAGTCACCAGTTTCACCAGCACAATTTAGTTTTACTAGCAACTCTAATCTGAATACGATAAAACTTCGAACAATAACTATAGCACAACAAAAACACAGAAAAATTTGTTAGTAAATAGTAAAAAAAAACTGATGCAACTAAAAAAACCTATCTAGATAATAATGCCGATCCGTGTAACCAACGCGATATCGCAACATAAAATTTCTAATATCTGATATGTTTAAGCTGATTCGGAATTTTTAAGGTTAGGGTTGGGATTTTTAGTATAATTATTCCGCTCTATTCTAAGTGGATTCCGAACCCTATTATTTGACTAATACAGTATTTACGGTTGCTTGCATCTGTGTATTTATATAACATTTGTGAATCTGTTAACAACCCCAAATCGACAATTAATGGTATTAAATAAAACGTCAACCGTGCGACTTGGAAATGTTTAAGTGGGATGGTGAAAAACCTGACATAAGTTTGATAAATAGATTACTCCATGCAGCAATTGATTTCTGCTAAAAAAAAAAAAAATTAAAATACTATATAGTGCAAGCAGAGGAAGAGAAATTTACAAACTTACAAGAGAACATTTTTTATTACAATGAACTTAAAATTTTTCGTGCATTAAATAACGATGATTCCATGTTATACCTGTTTTTTTTTTTCCCGTTCAAAGATTTCAACGGCTTCCATGGATATTTTAGACTAATTCTGAGTAAGATTATCAACATGCATGCAACAGTAAAACAAATCGTTGTTAACCTACTCTAAATTTCTTAATTATCGATTTCGTATTTATGATATTTTCGTTATTATCAAGATATTGTAGAGTATATTCTAGTCCCAATTTTGTAATCTTTGATTCCGAATTTACTCAATCCCAGTATCGCTTGTGAAATAACGCACATGGCCCAAATTAGGCATAATTAAG